GTACCCAGATATTCATGTCCATGCATGATTTCTCTTTTATACCAAGCCATTGATTTAAGTGGGAAATTCACATCAAAGCCATAAGTTTTCACCAAAACCTCACTTGCATAATGAAAATATAATGGCTAAAGAATGTTGATGTTAGGTAAAGGAGAGTCGGGGGAGGGGTGACATTGGAAGAAGAAGAAATCTATTAAATGTTGTGGTGTTAGCCCAGGATAGGCAATCCCAACAAGGGAACAAAAGAGAATCCAGAAACAAGCAAACTCATGCATAAATGGAAATTTGATAATCTTGCACATCACTCACATAGATTTTAGGGGGAAAAAGACTACTCAATGGATGATGTTAGGAAAATGGGGGATAAAATTAATTGAATCTGTGGTTTACATAGTATAGATAAAAATCAATTTCAGATTTTGTAGGGACTAGATTATGTGTTCAACCTACTAACAGGAGGTAGACACTAAAATTGGTAGTTCTGTCTGAATCACATGACTGGGTTTTGAGTGAAACAGTCCCCAAAAGGAGCATAGGATAAACAAAAACAATAAATGTTCAGCATAAGGCTCAGCGACCTCCTTGTGTCCCTAGATCTAGTTGTGCCTGGGACCAGTTGCATCCCTATCATTCTGGTACCACAAGCCCCGATGATTTTTTTTTTAATTGGTGTAGGTGGTTTGACTTCAGTTTGTGTCATTTGCAATTTGACATTTGTAAGTCTTAGTTGATGTACATTGACAGTTTTACAGTTTTATCTACATAGATCGCACAATGTTTCATTGTTACAATTGAGCATGTTTTATAGTTGATTTTCCACAATTGTAAAAAGGGATATTTTCCAATTATATTTTCTAACTGTTGTCTCCTATGTGGGAAAACTGTGTTTACATACTGACTTTGTATCTAGACATCTTGATGAGCTCTTTTATTCCTTATCATTTATCAGTTGACTCTCTTAATTTTACGTCGAAATTCATATCATCTCCTAACAATGATGGGTTTTTTTTTTCTTTTTTCAGTGTTTGTAACTGTTTTCTTATTTTGCTGACCAGTGTGACAGCAAAATGTTGAATAGTAGTTACAGTAGTGTGCATCTTTGTCTTATTTCTCCATTTTTGATGTTGCACCTTTAAGTATGTTTCTTGCTGGAAGTTCTCTTAAAGAAGTTGCTGTATTATTATGGCTTTCAAAGCATGCATTTTAAAAATCATGAATAAATATTGAATTTTATCAAATGTTTTTTTCTAAATACATCAAGTAATCATAATTTTTTTATCCTGTTAATGTATTGAATTATAATGATAGATTAACTAGTGTTGAACCACCCTCCATTCCTAGATAATTTTTTTTAAATTTATTATTATTTAATAAATGATGTGTTTAATTTACTATTTTTATTCTGGAATTTTCAGACTTTAGAGATTGATATTCATAAGTGATATGGACCTTGTTCAGCCTTCATATCCAATTTTGAGATTTTTATTAAACTAGAATTCTTAGAATTAGGTGGAAAATTTTGTCTTTTACCATGTTTTATGGCTTTTTTATTGTTTTAAAAAGGAGAGATCTTTATCTTCTTGATTCTACAGATTTTGGTCATTGTACCTTTCTACCTTTTCCCTAGTCATTTTGGTAAAATTTTCTTAGAAAGATACTCATTTCTTGTAGACTTTTAAGTTTTTTTTAAAATTTACATTAGTGTTATTTTTAATCATTTATCTTTTAAAACTTTTCACAATTAGTGTCTATCACAGCACCATATTACTGAACAGATTATTTTTTGTTTATATATTTGTTTATGTAATTGTGCTTTCAAATTATCTATTTAGTTTTTTTTTTAATTTTTTAGCTACGTACATCTGAATCATCTTCATGCATTTGGGGAATTTTAGCATTTTACCTTATCTATCACTGTATAGTAAACTATTCCAAAACTTATAAGACAACTACCATTTGGTTTGTTCCTTATTATGTGAGTTAGCAATCTGGGCTAGTTCTGCTGGTATTCGCACCTATGTGTTTGGGGGTTCACTCCAGATCATACAAGTTTCTAAAGTTCCCCTTGTTTCCCCTTTATGCTATTAGAGTCACTTTGTCTATGGCAAGCCTTCTTCTCAGTACATGCACAAACTCAATAGATACTCCGCAAGAAAAAGTGGTTGGAAAATTCACCTCACCTGGGAGAAGCTCTTCTCTCTCTGGTATTCTAATTCATCAACTCCCCTTTGTTTTCATAAGTTTCTGCTGTTTTTAAAAAATACAGTTTTTATAATTTATCTGATTTTTTTTTCTAGTTCAAGTAGGAGTTATGGCCTGTTATTATCTTCTACATCCTGTTTGGAGGCAGAAGTGAATGTTTTAATTTCAAATCTAGTATTTTTTAGTTCTAGAATTTCTGTTTGATTCCTTTTGAAGTTCTCTCTATGCTAAAATTTTCCACCCTTTCCTCTTATTCTAAACATATTAAACATATTTAGTATAACACATTTGAGTAAAATTCCCACACCTGTGGGCCTGCTTCTGTTGTTTTTTCTCTTTGAGTCATTCATTCCTGATTTTTAGTGTGGTTCATAATTTTTTTTGCTGAATGTTTGATATTGTGATGAACAATTATGGAGATTGAGCTTTTTCAGGGAGGCAAAGTGCAGACAGATCACTTTGATCTTTATGAAATTTGGTTTTAGTGTTTATTCAGGCAAGTCTATTTCAGGCAAATTTATTTCCATAGGTATAGCCTTTCCAGGATCTCAAATGAAACTCTTGGTGTTTACAGGTTTTCCTTTATTTTAGCAAACTCTGAACTTCATCCTTTGTCTCCCAAGCAAGAAATTTGTGCTCAACCCTAGACTCGTAGCTACTGTTTTGTTACTCTGTACATATATAGCTTAAAAGTTTACAAACTCTTCAAGGGGAAATCAAATACAGAGTTTTGGACTTAGTTCTCTGTCCCTCCTTCCTCTGAAATTTTGCCCCTTAAGTTTCACTTTAACAGAGTCAAACCCTGTCTTCTCTTCCCTGTTCTCAGTGAGCCTGTCTTTTCTACTCAGATTCTTTCCCCTTAATTTGTGAATTAGAAATACCTCAGGGAAAGGGCCAGATTGACTTTACAGCTCTCCTTGTTGTGCTTCCCTTCTCTCAGAAAGCATAGTCTCTCCAACCTTGTCTGTATCAGTTGTCTTCAAACAAATATTTTATATATTTATATTTTATTCAGGTTTTTTTAGATGTTTCTGACACAGAATTAGTCTAATATGAGCTACTCCAGTGTAACTGGAATTCCTATGAATGAATATAAATCACTTCACCAACTTAAGCATACAAAACCAGGTCACAAATCTTTTAATATTCAAATTAAATATTCCTAACCATCATGCAATAGAATGAGTATGAATTTTATCTAAACTCAGAATATCCCAATGATAAGTCTAAGATTTTCAGAGATGCTTACTAAGTCCAGTGGGTCATATTCATTTATTGTATCATGACCAGAATATATGATTTATTCACTAGGGAGGGTTTCTATTGGTGCCTTTGCTTCCATCCAGTGTTGCTTTGAAAACTGATAGGTCTCTGTTGATGGTGAATAGTGTTTTAGTGTCTGATACATATGTCACTACAGTTAGTCCCACCCTGACTTCTATTGTGTGGAAACCCCTTTCCCTGTATAGTATCATTATAGACTCACAAGCCAGGGCTTCATAGCTTTTAGTGACTTTGTTTTGGAAATCTTTCAGAAAGAGAGACAGAGAGACAGAGTGAGAAGGAGTTTTCCTTGGCACGGTGGTGGCATCAGAAGGATTTCTTGCTTCAGCCTTATGCTGGGCCAGAACAAGCCCTTTCCTGCAAGCTTTGTGTCCTAATTCTCAAGTAAGGATGGAATTATTTCACTCATTGTACTAAGGTCAGCTCCAAATTCTGTCACTGGATAAATCACATTTTGGCTAAGGAAAAAATTATGATGATACCAAAGAGCAATCATTTAAATGTGATTTCCCTAGCAAGGTTCTCCCTATTTGAGGCTCTGTTGTTCAATGAATGCCTCAGTGTTCACATGAGGACCACTCTTAATGTTAAAAAATGTTCACAGACCAGGTTTACATTACTAGAGAAGATGTATTAGTTTCCTATTGTGTTGAAACAAATGGTCACAAACTTAGTGGCTTAAAACAACACAAATTTATTGTCATACTGTTCTGGACATCAGAAGTCCAATATCAAGCTCAGTGGACTAAAATCAAGATGTTGCAGGACTGTGTTTCTTCTCTGGAGGTTCTAGGGGAGAATCCATTTTCTTGCCTTTTCTAGTTTCTAGAAGATGCCTGCATTCCTTGGCTTGTGGCCCCATCCTTCATCTTCAAACCCTGTAGCACAGCGTTTCTAATAGCTCTATCTCTACTTCTGTTTAACTTCTTTTTCTAACTTTAACCCTCTTCTGAGGATCCTTATAATTATATTGGGTTACCTGGATAATCCAGAATAATCTCCTCATCTCAATAGCCTGAATCACATCTGCAAAATCCCTTTTGCTATGTAACATATTCAAAGGTTCTGCAGATTAAAAATTGACATCTTTGGAGGCAGGGGTCAATTATTCATCCTACCACAGAAAGCTTCTTGCCACTGTCATCTTTATACTCTCTAGAAGGCCCAAGGAATATATGGCTCTCATGTTAAGCTGAACTTAATATTCTAGATAGTACCCCTCCATGTCTTAACAACAATCCTTGAGTTGGTCTTTCTTTTATATAATTCTGTAACCCAAGGATTAAACTGCTGAATTTCTATAGCTCAAGAATTTCTGGACTATTTCCTAATGTATAGACTTTCAGAGGGTTAGGGTGGATTAGGCAGAGATGGCAAGGAGGGTTTCTACATTGCTAATTGTTTTTTTAGAGAACAGGTTTAAAATCTGTTCTTTTAAGACCTTTTGAAATTATGCAACAGGCTTCAGTTTGGCAATAGCTCAGTTTATCAAAGATGAATTACATATCTTTCACAGGCCAGTGGAAAATGCAATGGCGTCTAATCAAGAATCACAGCCAGGAAGCTAGACTCAGAAGAAAGGCCGTGAACTCAACCAACTTTCTTCTTTCTCTCCTTCCACAGATCCAGTAAGCCCATTCTCTAACAGAGAGTTGTTTTACTTTTTGTCTATTTGTACTTGGCAGAGAGGAACAGAAGGACCTTTGGTGACCTGTTTTTACTTGAAGAATATGATTTTACATCATGACAGAGGTCTCTAACTTCGTGAACCCTGTCAAAAGTGGATCATGCCTCTAGGTAAAGAAATACTAAAGGTCATCACCTGCTAGAGAAAAGCATAAAAGACATTTGAGAGATTAGTTTCTTTTTTTCATATTGTGTACCCCTCAACTGTCTGTGCTGAAAATTAGTATGCCTTGTATTAAATCTCCAGAGATTTGCTTAAAACCTCTTCTAGTAACTCCAATGTTTCTTTAACATCTTAGTTAGAATTTTGATGTTCCAGATTTATGAAATGCACCTAAATGAATGATACTCTAAATTCCAAGGACATTTTAAATTTCAACACATGTTGCCTTGCTGAGATTCAAATTTAAACAGCTATCCTCATAAAAATCATTGGAAAGTACAGAAGCCACAGGGGGAAATAACAATAAACTTTTAAGTTTGAACCGGTATTTTGAAGAAAAAAAGTATGATGCCTGTTTTCAGCACCTTTTAAAGATATATAGTACATTTGGTTGTTTAAGAATATACAAGTATATTACGTTTGACTTGATTTTCTTGGCCTATTTAGAGATCATAAACTCCCCAGAAATGTTAGGCTTTTTATCCTGTTTTTAAACAAGTCATCATGAAAAATGTTTTCCTTACCTTCTAATTTTACCATTTCCTTCAAGCCTTCATAGACTATGCACTGCAAGTAATATTCAAAATTGTGACAGTACTGCCATTCGAATGAAAATTTTTTTTTGATCCATACACATCTGTCATTATGGCCAGTTCTGATAAGCTCACTGTGGGGCAGAAGTCTGGTTTTGGAGCCAAGAGCTTTAAAATTGTTCAAGGATTTTATTGAAAGACAGATACTGTTGAAAACACATAGGAACTAAACACTTGAAATAGGTGGCTGTATTTTCAGAAAATTGGGATGATTTAGATTTGGAGGACAGACAGGAGTGATTCCTTTTAAATGAAAGATCCAGAAGCATATAATCACAACCCTTGCTAGTTCTTCTATTTCCTGTCACTCCTCAGGCATTTTAGTGCTTCCCATATCAGCAGTGTAAGAGAGGTGGTACATATGTCTGAGGTAAACTTGAGTTCTTTCCTAGAGGAACAGAAGACCAAGGGAAAGGGAAGGAAAACCATTAGATCTTGTTTCCTGATTCTCATTTTGAACACCCTGACTTACTTTAATCTGTACGTAGTGAATCAGTGCTTGCTTTCCTTGTTGTCTGTATTACCTACCCTTCAAATTCAGAGATAATATAAAATTTGAATTTGGTAGGAATGCAAAGCACAAGTGTTGAAAATTATCACATTGCATTGTTATTTGCATTTATATATAATGATTTAAATATAATTTGTACATGGCTTAAATATTGTAGGAAAAGCATTTTTCTTATTCTCCCTCATGGCTAATAGAACTTTGAACTCCAAACATTCAGTTATTTATGTATTGAGCATATGTTTATTGAGAACATCCTAATTTTACTAAATACTGCATATATAAATACAAATTATTCAGGGTCCCTACTGTCACTAATCTCACAGTCTACTGAAAGAAACATGAAAATTCTATTACAATCTAATAAGTGTCATGGTGGAGATATGTTTTAATACCTAACATTTACTGAATACTTACTATGTGCCTCGGGACTATATGTACTATTAGTTGATTTTTCTAATAGCTTTATGAGATAAGTACAATTATTATCTCCACTAATACAAATGATGAGTTGAAGCTTAGCAAAGGTAAAAGCATAGTGAATTCAGAAAGTGTCAAATAGTTTACTGTGACTGACGTCTGTGTTATAGTTGAGGTATATTTTATTGTGGGATATAATTGATTCTTGAGATTTTTCTTTTTTTGATAGACTGGTTGAAATATCATCTAATACAGTTGTTCACTCTTTCAATTTCTATTTTAACCATCAAACTTACGGCCTGCTTGTTTGACTTCCCTGATATTCAGCCTATTTGTCAGGGCCTAAGGGTGATGGGGGTGGAAAAACTCTTAGAAAGAAGGGGCCAAAACTCCTCTGACAATAATAGATTCGTGGGAGAAAAGTCCAGAAGAGGAACCCCCCACCATAAAGAAAGCACTCAGAGAGGAGATTTCCAGAATGATAACTACAGAGAGAATGAAACCATGGGGATGTCAGACCTCTTGTGTCATACTGGAAGTTTCAGCTCTTAGCACTGAGCCATCAGTGCTTGTGGCTTTGATCCACATAATCTTTCTTCATTCATGGTAGTGTTGGAGAGAGAGGGAGCCTTAAGCCTCCTTTGGAAATTGGAATGTAAGATTAGATAATAATCATCCAGTGGGGGCATATAGAATGCCGTCTCACTCTGGATGGACGCAGTGTAGGGTCGTGGCTCTGCAGCAAGCCTGGCGCCCCCACATTCCAGCTGCAGCCTCATGTCTCTCATCTGGAAAATGGGCTCATCAGCACTTCCTCCCTCCCGGCTCTTGGGAGGGAAAGAGCCCCCAACAGAGAGGAGGTGGCCGCACATACTCGCTCTCATCAATGGGCACCTAACCAGTTTTGAGAGGATGATGAAATTAAATATATTGAAATGCTTCTTGAACTTTTTTTTTTTGGTAATTTTCAATCATTACTATTCTTTAAAGCAACAAATTGGTTATTTTGCCTGAATAGTAAAATTAAGATTTTCTGATCAATGGCTATGTTATATTCAACTTACTTCTGAACTATCATGATATTTGCTTTATTTCTGTTTTGTTTTGTTTCCAAATCCGATTCTTGTGATGGTCATATCATTGGAGAAATAATCCAGTTTTGGAGGCACTAAATTATACAGAACAGAAACACTACTGAATTAGTCACAAGTCTGCATTTGCAAGTAGCAGAAACCCAACTCAAATTAATTTAAATAAGAAAGTATACTATATTAGCTTACATATGCAGAATGTACCTCTTTGCCATTGCCAGCAATCAGTTTCTCCTGCTGTTTCCTGGCTTTGTTTTTCTTCACTTAGGCTTTATTCTCTGGTAGGCTATCTCCATATAATGGCAAAGATAACAATGAGAACTTTAGGCATACGTGATCTTCAGCACACACTGGTTTAAATAATAAGTATACTGGCTCACATAACAGATAGATGTTCAGATGTCGTGCAGTTTTGGATGTAGTTTGATCAAACTCTCTGGGATTCTCTTAGCCCTTCTTTATGTGTCAGCTTTATAGTGGTCCTAGGCCTCACAGATGCATACAACATCATCAGAGTAAGAGAACAAATCCTTCCCTCAATTTTTGGATAGAAGTTCTGAATTTTATTCTGTTGGGACCAACTGAAGTCATCACTCATTATGGAACCAATGTCTAGTTTGGACAGAAGTTCTAAATTTTATTCTGTGAGGACCAACTAAAGTCATCACTCATTATGGAACCAATGTCTAGTTTGGACAGAAGTTCTAAATTTTATTCTGTGAGGACCAACTAAAGTCATCACTCATTATGGAACCAATGTCTAGACCAAGAGATTTAGAAACTCTCCTGGTTGGCTTATACTAATCAGGACCTACTCCCAGGGTTGTATCAGTCCAACATAAACCAAATGCCTGTTACATAATTGGTGACAAATGAGATGGATACTGGAAAAAGCAATACCCACACCCAGCAGAAATCCTGGGAAGTTTCCCATTGGGAAAGTTCCTTTGACTGACATAAGCCTCATACTCATCTAGGTACCCCCAAGACTAAAGGTGAAAAATGAGTGGGTCTCCATTAGGCAGAGAGGAATTTTGGGAGCAGGCCAAATAAAAGCTGTGTACTATCACATCTCTAATTGTTCTATTTTATATTCTGGATGGAAAGTAGTCTTGTCTACTGCCATGGACACACAAACTAGAAAAATTACATTTTAGAATCCTTGAACACTAACAGCTGAATTTTTATTTAGAATATGAAAAGATTAGATAACGTTTTCCAACGGGAGGAAAAAATTGAGATTTATAGCAGTAGCATTTCTTATGTAGAAAGAAGCAATATCTGTTTTTCTGGAAACGAAAACTGCAAGGGAATAAATCATGTTTTACGAGAAATTGATAGAAGAAGACAATTTCTCCCAGTCATTTTATAAAATGTAAGAATTACCATGGTTTTCAAAGAAATGCGTTGGTGGCTGATGTAGGAACTTAATTCCAATGAAAGCACACATAGCTTAATCTTTGGCATCAGGAAGAATATTTATGCAAGTTTTTTTCTTTTTCTTAATTAGAAAAATACATAGTACCAGTAATTTGATCCTGAATACATTTTTTAAAAATATTATTGCCATTCTTGCATCTTTATTGGGTATTTTTAAAGTTGAAGCTTTAAAAATTTGTTGAAGTTTCAGATTCAAGTATAGACTTCCAAGGAAGGATCAAAGTTATGAGATGTAATTTAAGAATATTGCTAAATGAAATACTTCCACAGTAACCTACCTTTGATATATCTTTTCTATTAAAGATTAATAGTTTGAAATGTCAAAACATCACAGACGAGAAAAACTTACGCCTTGTAGAGTTACTCTGTGTACTTATATATAATGAACCTCTAGTGGGCTGTCAGAATGTAGTGTAGAGATGAAGGCTGAGAGATAATACCCCACCTCCCCTGCTTCTGTGGCCCAAGGTGGCTGTGGTTCGTGGTGGGGCCATCGAACAGCTGACAGTACATACGGCTGATATTTTCTGGCCCACCTTCATCTCTCACTCTGCCACTCCATAGTGTTTTTTCATCAGTATGATTTTTATTTGTGTAGAGAACTGAGAGATGAAAAGTTTTGCCAGCAGGCATTTGGTGCTATGAATACACAGTAGTAGTTTAAGAAGGTTACTGGTTGAGTCTCTATCTCCAGTGGAGGTAAATTAAATGCAGGAGAAGACAATAA